AGTCCTAGATTAAACTCTTATAAGAATAAGAGACAGGGAGAATATTTACTTCCTGGTTTGAAAATAAAAAACCACCTATCTTACAGCATCACAAATCTCATTAAATGGCATTTTTTTTCCCTGAGAATTTAAAAATATTTCATGTGGTTTACAAGTAGGACTACAAAGGAGCAGCTCAGAATGCAGTGACACCTAATGGCAAAGCTATCTTCGTTGGCCATAAATGCATTTGCTCACAAACGTATGTGTAATAAGAGTGCCTAAACATTACTACTCACCAATATGCTGTCTATACACTGAAACGTCACGATGAGTCAATAGATACTGCTTTTAAAAATTAAAATAATACTATAGGTAAAGGGGAAAATAATAAACTTCTGGATTAAAAAGTGTACTTTAAAAGTTAAAATATCCCTTTAAGATAAAATTATAATCTGGTAAAGATCAGCCCTAAAGATCAGAATTCAACAAAATGCATCTTCCATTGTTCTTAACAATTTCAACTGGTTTCTAAATTTGTGGTTTAATCAAAGATTAATCATCTTAATTTTTAAATCTATTTATTTATTTCCTGGGGTTGAACAGAGTCTCATCACTCCACAATCTGCCCGCATCCCAAGCCTTCCAACCAGCAAAAATCAAGGGCATTCCCAAGGATGTGCCTGGCATGTTCATTTCTACCCTGGACCCAAACCCCAGGCCTTCCCATATGGCTCAGTATCAACACTCCACAACAGCACCCTCTTGCCTGCACTATCACTGCTGAATTTTTACCACACTAACCTTGTTTTTTATTTGTATCTGAATTCAGTTTATAGAAGATATTTAGTAGATGTGCATCTCACCTGGAATAGAAAGTAAAGGTCCTTAGTGTAATGGCTTATTAGTCATGTCGTAGTTGATATTTTTGATTAACACCGTCTACTGTAATGTACACCTGAACCATGCTTTAACTATTAATTATTCAGGAAAAAAAACACAGTAAACATAATACTTTCTAAAAGTTTACATGTACCGTTATCCAAAACTTAGGGAGCAAGTAGCTACAAGTAGTAAAAGGATGATAAATATTGGAGATGGTCTAGCACAGTGCAAAGGGTCGTAGGTGACTCTGGAGGGCAACGTGCAAATTATGGAGTTGAAAAAGAAATATTCTGTTAGAAGACGCAGTGCCTGTTCTGGGCATGTTTTTACATTCTGTACTTGATAGAAGTCCTCAGTGCGGAATGAAAACTGATGCTTTCAATTTACCACCTATTATTGTTTTTAATGTGTTGATGTATTCTATTCACCCAATTTTGCACTTTAATTCAGATGGTCTTATGATGAAAATATACTGTGAATTGTCTTAGGCTTTTCAAACCCAATGTCATAGTTGATGATATGATCTCAGAGGATAATGTATTGTCTACTTATGAGAAAAAGAGGAATAAATGCTTCTTTTCTACTCCATGTTGACATAAGGTATTTTATTATGACTGATAACAACAAAAATATGCTGGTAATCTATGTAATATTTAAATATACTCTTTGAGGGTTCCCTTGTAAAGATATATAACAGAGGATAGCTAATTTGCAGTTTTGTGAGCACAGGAACCAGATAAAGAAATGAGCATATATTAAACTGTTAAAACAGGAGATCCTCCATATTAGATATGAATCAAAACACAAACTGTGCAGTTGACTGGAAATGCCACCTAATCCCTGCTTAATTAAAGCGGTGCTCTAAACTCCTGTTGTGTTTAGGGAGTAAAGAGTGTGGGATGACTGATGTATGAAGAAAATAGCAGTCAGCGTGGCTAATCTCAAAGACTTTGGAGCTTTCTAGCTACATAAATCAGAGAGACTTCTGAATAGCCTCATAAAACACACTATCATTGCCATTCCACTCACGACTTTTTGGTTCTTCCTACAGCATGTAGATCATTAGGAAACTTCTAGGCAATCAAGTAATAGGGGTCTGATGAAATTACTCAATCAATGCACAGGCTCAAAGTAGAAGCATAATTCAAAATCGCACAGTTTTTACAAGTCAAACGGCCTTTCTCTTATTGGGGCAAAGAAGATCACAGTGGAAGTGATTTATCTGTAAACGTATGTGTGTGTACGTGTGAGTGCACGTCTCATAAACAAACATAAGGGAACAAATATATACGTCTTCAAAGGATGATGAACAGAAACAAATTACAATGCTGTACATTTTTAAGAGATACGTCTTCATTTCTATCATTATGGTTTAGCCATTATAGCACATCTCATCATTGTAGTGAACTCATGTGTTTAATAAAACACATTACAGTGGAAAACATGTCATTGACTGTATTCAACTACAAGCATGAAGTAAAAACAGAGAGAATGAAGGAGAAATTTTCATACGTATAATCTGGTTCAATACTAAAAGGATTCAATATTTAAAGAACCTCTTAGAGCAGTGTCTTTTTATCTTTCCAGGTTGCCTGAACTCTGAATTGCAGCCACTTTCTGCTTGAACACATCACATGAGGCTGGGAAAATCTTTCATTTCTGCATCTAACCTTATAATCTCTGGGGTTGAAATAGTTCATCACTTTCATCTCTCTAGTCTCAAACTAATCATTTCCCCCATAAGTCTAGTGTTCACATTAAATATTTAAATAAAGGCACTCACCTCTTTAAGAAAATGTATTTTCTTTTCTTATTCAACCAACTATGTAAACTAATCCAATGCAAACTAACTGGCGCTTCACAATTTTAAAATAGACATTCAGTTTTGAATTTATTATTAACTTTGCTGAGTACAGATGGAAGAGTAGGGGCTTTAAACAAAAGAGGTATACATAAATTAATTAGCCCTATCATTTTGTTTTTGTCATTTGAGAGCTATATTTTTCAGTATATTGTAAAGAAGAAGCTTTTGAAGCAATCAATTTCTTAGCTTCATGGCAATATTAGGCTGTCTGTAAAAGAAGTTCATCTTTTGTCTAATGTACTAATTTCATTCAGGTCAAATTAACTGAGAAGTAACTATTTCTTTTAGTAGGATACACATACTTTACATATACAATCAGATTTTTAACCTAGTTATAAAAAAGTAAGCCATGTCACACTGACAGACAACAGTAAGCGAAAGAAAAATACAACAGTTGTGTTCAATTTTGAAACAAATGCCCAGACTGCACTGCAAAATACTATTCATCTGGTGAAGGACAGCAAGAGCTGTAGGTGTTTGTAAATAATGTATATATCCTGCAGACCACAGAATAAACAGTAAAAACAAGCATTTTCCCACAAGCCTTCTCTCCTCTGGAATGAGAAACCTAGGTCAGAAACTCCTAATCAAAAAATGAATATGAAGGTATGAGGACAATGTATCTCCTTCCTGCCCCAGTCACTTACAGCAGACAGAAATGCAAGCCATTTCTTTAAGAGAAACATAGTTCATTTCTGAACTCTATCAGAATATTACTGAATCCCTCAAAGAGACCATAATTCTTCCCTTAAAAGTTCTGAACCCACAGGCACTGCTAGCCCCTCACGCAAAAAAAAAAAAAAAAAAGATCCAACAGGGCAAGCTATCTGCTGCTTAATTGACTTAATGCCTAAGTGCAAGGTCTTCTGAATCCTGACCTCATTACCCCTTGCACAGACATATACATTTGTAGTGATATCAATGATAGCGAATGGCAGACATGTTTACAGACAGCCCTGAGACCAAGACAGGGAGCACCCCCCAGCTGAGGGGCTGGCCACTGTGGGCGAGCGCCAGACCTGAGCCCCTTGCTTGGGCAGGCACAACCTCCACCGGCAGCAGGTTCCCCTACTGGGAGAGTGAGAGAGAGCGACAGTGAGTGTGAGAGTGTGTGTGTGTGTGTGTGTGTGTGTTCCGCTGTGGAAGGGGCAGGGGGACGGAAACGGGGAAAACTGTGACCCATCTGTCGCCTCGATTTGCAGAACGTCAAGCCGTGTGGACAGATGAAAGTCCTGTACCCAGAAAAATTCCCCAAGAGGGGGCCCCTCTGCAGCTCAGCAAACGAACCTCGCTGGCCCGCGGACGCGAATTTCCGAAAAGGAAATCGTCGCATTAAGGCAGAGGAGGTTGCGGGAGCCGTCTCCGCTCGGCTCCCGGCTTAGGAGAGCGCAGAGTTGGAGCCCGAGCCGGAGCGCTGTGCATGATAATGACGCGCAGCCCGCGCCCGCCCCCGCCCGCCGGCCGGTCCCGGCCCGTCTGGTTGCCAATAGGTGGGGCCCGGAGCCTAGCAGAGCCGGCGCCCGCGCCACTCC